TTCCTGAGATAAGTGATCTGGTCTTATGGCAAGGCCCAGCGCGTAGAATGACTGCTGTTGCTCTCCATGACGCGGAGGCTCATACTGGAAAGCCGCCATACTTGGAATCTGCCATCTTCCGTTGTTTTACAACCGTCTATTTTCATCCCCATTGCTTTCTTTTCGTCCAGAACGTCCGAATTCCGCTACCCCAAGGCAACAGTGTGGCTGCGAGTGGGTCGAAGGAGGGAAATCTGGGTTGGGCAATTTAGCGCTCGGTGCGTCATACACACTCCCGCTCACGCTTTACATTGATTCTTCATTCAGCTTACACGCGTCAATTCTCTTTTCCAGCGCAATCGAAGTGCGTGATACACTGACTCCTCAGTGTCCATTTACTGACTTTTGTTTTGCAGCAGCGCACGCTCCCGATCGTGGTGCGCTCTATTTAGGATGTAAATGCCTCTCTCTTGCCGCTGCACCTACCCCGATCGTCTTGCACATCCTGTCCCCCAGAATTACCCAGTACGCTTGCGATCCAACACTCGCGCTGGCTGCTTCCCTTCCGCGATCGCCGACGGCGGCAGTGATTGGCATTGGGAACGAGCGGTTGCTACTACTCGAGCCGCCTGTATCCACCAGCGCCGCCGGCGAAGTCCGCCACGCGCAGCCCTCCCGAGCCGCCGGAGCCGCCCTTTCTTGCCCAGCCACCCGCGCCGCGCAGCCCGACGTTGTCGCAGCGCGAGAAGTGGCACTAGGAGGACGAGGAGTTCCCCCCGCAACCCCTCTTGCGTCGCCGCCGTTGGGCTTGCCGGATGAGCGCGGCGCGCGCGAGCGGCTGAGGGCGCGCGTAATCGCGCGCGGCACATGGAGGTAGCTCTGCAGCGTGAGGGGGCGGGCGAGCGGAGGGCGGACGCTGCCGGCGTTCGCGAGGGATGCGCTGATACCGACGCCGGGGCTCGGGAGCATCCTCGTGGGCGTGCTGCGCTCATCGCCGCCCGTACACGGTGCGCCCCGCGCATGGAGCACATCTGGACCGGCCATTCCGAGAGCCAACGCGTGCGCATCGGGCCGCTTTCTGCACCTGCGACGCCCCCGACGCCCGGATATTTGGCATTCGCCGAAGCTTCCCCAAAGTGCAATTTACGCCGTCCGAGCACATCGTAGTGAGTAGCTACTTGAACACGTGTATTGTAGTCTATACCCCTACAATCCATATTATTTTCGGCATTTTTGAGGATTTCTTTTTGCTCGCTGTCGCCGACGACGTCGAGAACATTTTGATCGTCGTGTCCCAAATGCGGTTATTGTGATCACGACGACAACGATAGGGAGCTCGCCGTGTGGAATGGGCTGCAGGCGGTGGCGACCAGAAAAGGTATGTATTCTAATGTGATACATCGAGGACATTCTAATTAGAGGCCATAATACATCGGGTAGCGCCTCTAATTAGAAGGGGCGATGTATCACTCCCCCAGCATCTGGTGACGCGATTCCCTTCCACCTTTACCCCAGCTAATTAGTATAATGAAACCTTCCAGTCAGCAATCTTCACGAACAAAACACCCCGGCCCGCGGTGCGCACCTGCAGTACTCACGTATATACCGATGCTAACTTACACATCAATATCCGCAGCGTTCGCTCGGTCGACTCGAGTCTACGCCATGACTTGGTTTCGTTCCCTCCTTTTTTCCTGCACGCTCGCTCCACCGTCACTCTTACCTTTCTTCTGAGCACCCACTTTAACAAGGCACAGCGGCGCACCCGCCCCAGATGTTCATATTCATACCCACTCCTGCAGTATATTTCAAGGTCCGCTCGTTCGACTCGAGCCTGTGCCATGATGAAGGCTCTTCCTTTTTTCCCTCTTGTGCGGTCATTGTCTCATCTATTCCTAGAACAACTCTTGGTTTTTCTTTTTGCTCGAACGAGGCGAAAAATTAATTCTTGCCCTCGTCCATCCCTTTAATCCTCGACCCACATATCCATAGTCGATACCATTCTAACAAGTCTCGCCGGGATGCACAAGAGACACCGGAGCGCGTATTCTAGCGCCTGCAATCGATCCATTGGACCGTCTGCAGACAGCTCGTTCGATTCGGGCCGGTGCCTTGGAAGAATAGAGCCACAGTCTTTTTGTTCTCCTCACCTACAAAATCGCCTCTTGCCTTACTGAGCATTTAGTTGCCTTACTGAACACTTACCATCGGTCCCAATTCACTTACACGTTACCAGAGTGAACACAATTGAGGTGAGTCTGCACCCAACTTGTCCCTTCCTCCGCCCTGACTTCGAACTTCGAACAGAATCTAATGCAGTTCCACGGCCTGCAGGAAGGCAAGAAAGCAGCGGCGGAGAGTTCCGCACCTGCAACCGATACTTCGATGGCTGCGATGTCTGCAGGCAAGCTCGTTCGATTCGAGCCTGCGCCATTAAAACCCAGACTCAATCTTTTCCTCCCGAATCGCCTGGCGCTGTCGCCCGATTGAACACTGGACTCATTGTTTTCATTTGACGACGGTGAGGTGAGTCTGCAAATAATCACCTTCCCTTCTCTGCCTTCGATCTCACTAGAATCTCGAGTTCACAGGCTTAGGCGTTGGGGGCAAGCCTCGGTTGTGATGAACCAAAGCCGAGCCGCGCTATATTTTCCACGCACTAACTGGTTGGATTCGAGCCCCATTCTGGCCATTGGTACGAATTCGCCCCTCTTTTCCCGTGCGTCTTGAACCTGACCAAGATAAAAATGAGCCAAAGTGAGTCTGCAACCGATGTTTTTCCCTTCGTCGGGCTTCAATTCAATCAGACTCAAATGGAGCTCCACAGGAAGGCACGGGCTGACACGGGCTTATGTCCCTGTAACGCATGACGAGGCGGTAAACGATGCTTGTCTCCAGGTTAGGTTGTCTGATCTGGATGCTCGTCGGACTTCTCTTCTGGGCTTCTCGATCTAACTCCCGCCGCTATGTCCCACGGCCACTATTGCCGACGTGAATACTGTACGCATTGACCTACATTGAATGTAATTGAGCGCGTCTGCGGTGAGTCTGAGTCTAGTTTCTCTCCGTTCATTGACGACTGAACGGAAGGTCAAGCAGCGGATGGTTGAGCCACTGCAACAGATAACCGTGGTTCTTGCTGTATCAATCCAATTCGAACCTTGGTTCATGTCCGATTATCTGACGCCTTCCCAAACTGAATCGCGAAGGCGGTCCCGCGGCAGGTGATTCATCCCGCAACATAAAAACGGGGGATGTCTGATGCTTCATCTGCAGGGTTAGCTCGTTCGAACTGAGCAAATGCTACTACTGACGCTGGATTGGGTGAAATTTTCCAGTTTATCCTGCTCGTCAAATTCGGGACTGGAGAAGTGAACATCAGCGCCCGATTTCGGTTCGTTCCGAACTCAGCTGTAAATGCGACGTATATACTTCAACAGGATCGAATGGGGAGAGAGTCCGGAGGCAGATATTTCCCGGTTTGTGGCGATAGCCTGAGGTGCCCGTGAGGGCGCGGTGAATGGTACTTGTGATAACAACGCACCGTGGTGATTCCCGGCCCATTTTCCCGCTATTCCCGGCGCGACGATAACAAAGGCGGTCTGTTCCATCGTCTACTCGTCCAAAGCAACGAGAGCTGGGAAATCGACTGTCCGAGGATGTCTACTTTTCCTGCTTGTTATTGCTAGTAAGTACTTGGTACCATATCGCCCCGCCAAGAGTTTGAGCTAACGTGCAAGCTTTGAAACGAGCGCGCTGCTCTGTAAGCCCTCCGGAATTCCTGACAGAAGAGTTGGCCATCCAAGAAGGATCCAGAAATTCACGGTGGAGGTAGTGGACTCTGGAGAGCAAGAGGTGGCTCGGCCGATTATCGCCGTGATCTATGTTTGGCTCCGAATCGCTCCTTGCTTCCTCCCACCACAACGATTTGGTTTGCTTCAGGTTTCCTGGCTCCGGGTGGCCTGCACTTGTGCGGCAAACCCTGTGATGAACTGGGTCTATTCCTGCTTTACTTTGCAGCTCCTGGCGTCGATCTTTTAGATGATAAAGGTGACTTCGAATCCTCGAGAACTTGAAGAACGCCCAGTGGCGGATACTCCGCGGCTACCACCAGTTTGCAGTTTGGTGGTTCGCAAAACCTCCTCGTTCGATTCGAGGCTGGGCATTAAACAGATGGCGACGCTATTTTTTGGGGCTCCCTCCGCGAAATCATTCAGGGCGATGCAACTGGGAGGCGTGATTCAATCCGGACATAAAACTGGGTTGGCGCCTATCCCTGCCTTCCCATTGAAACTGCCGCTCCGTTGGATCTTCCCCGCAATTCGCCCGCAAGCTCTCGCTACTCGGTCCTCTTTTCAGTAAGTGCTCGCGTCGATGCTGTACATTCTAGTTCAGCTCGAATCCCAGAAGACTGCCTAGTCGCGGATGGCCCGCGGTTGCTACTAATGCGCAGTCCATCAAGGGTTGGTAGCACCTCCTGGTTCCATTCGAGCCTGGGCGGTAAGGATTGTGGCTCGGTAGTTTTTTTTTCCTTGTCTTCATGGACGAAATCATTCGACAGAACGACTCGGATTCGACCCCTCCATGCATTTTCTTGCGTCCTTGCGACTAGCAAACTTCCGAGTGGCTGCCATTAAGTTCACAGGAAGCTCAAGCGAGGCACAGCGGCGCGCGGTGCGCACCTGCAACGTATATATGCGGTGTCACACTATATAAGCAGAGTTCGCTCGTTTGACTCGAGCCTGCGCCATATTTGGTTTGCATATCTGTTTCTTTCTTATTCTCCGGGCTGATGAGGCACTCCGTTCAGGCAATGAGGACGCGGTCTCGAGTATTCCTGCTTATTAGCGGGTAATCCAATTTGCAGAGTGCGGGTACGCTGTCACCCTTTCATCCCCTTCCTCTGCTCGTACCCTTGCCAAAACATTAACCTTGCCTGCCACGGCACCTACTTCGTACTTTTGCAGCCACTGTGATCGGTTTTGTTGATTCCAGTGAACGTGAATCTGACAACAACGGAACGTCCAGTGGCGGATGGTCCGCGGTTGCTGCCAATGAGGATCATTGGCGTCCATTTGTTGCAACAGTTGCTCGTTCGATCCGAGCCTGGGCGATAGCGCTTTTACGTGCCAATATTTTTAGCTTTGCATTTGCCTCCATGAACGGACACAACGTGGAGAAACTGGCAGGATCCAATCCACGCTATATCGCTCCATAGATAATCTTTGTACGCCATTTACTTGTATCTTTTCGCCTAGCTTATAATTAAACGTCCCAGCGGCTCTTTCCAAGTTCACAGGCAGCAGCGCACGGTACGCACCTGCAATGAAAGTGGCTGACGTGCTGTTCGGATTTGAACGGAGTTCGGATGGTGCGCAGTGGCCGCCCCCATTGTATATCTGCTATCGGTACGCATTGGCCTCCCTTTCTAAATTCCCGTGCTTCTTGGCCCTGACCTCCTTGCGCTAAAACTCGATGCATGGTTGATTACCACCTCCAGGGTCTTTGGTTTTGCGGAAAGGTGAAGTAGGTTACGCTGAAGATTATATTCCTGCCCTGGTCATGCAATGAAGCATGGATTTGGAATGGCAGGCGTCTCGTTCACTCAGCATCTCGGTGTGACGAAACCACTGCATCCCTTAGGAAGTTGAACTTGAGGGCTCGCGGTCGATGGAGAATATGCATCGATAATTGTGCATTGGACCAAGCAATGGCGGCGGCTAATGCTAAATTTGAGAAGTTAATGTGCTCGGGCGAGGCAGAAACTGTCTTCGTGCTGCAAGCCAAAATACAAACTGCTACCTGAAGTACACGATGTAAGTACTTCATGAGCAACGACCGGCAGATCACGAACCTAAGCGGTCTCGTTCATTGCAGTATCTTTCAATGCAATGAGTTCCGGCCAAGGAGGCAGGCCATATATACTCGGGAGCTTGTCCCAGAATTTTGCAAAGGCAGCTCGATGGTGCTCCTTCGCCTTGAGGACGCAATCAGGGCATAAGCGGTCGTAACCGAACATGACATCCCACGTGTCATCGTCGCGCCAATATTCAAGTGGGCTCGCAACATAATCCGCCTCGAGCACCTCGAGGACGCGATCCAATTTTTTGAGGCGCACTTTTACGCAGCCAGAGCCAACCGTGCACCCATCGCCGGAGGGAAGTGCAAGGCATCTGTTCACGGCAATGCTGGCTTTCATATGCTCGGCCTGCGCCGCCAGACACGTTTGGATGATATCCGCTTCAGCTCCAGACGTCAGTGCTGAGCATAATTCTCCAGATGAACATAGTGTGGTGCAATAATATGCCATGGGCAGTAGCCAGAGTGCGCCAACAACTTTCGCTGTGGCGATGAGCTTGGCGAACCAGAAGCAGTATGCCTCGGGATAAACGATATGGGAATCGACAAGTTGCGTAGCGAGATATTCGTGCATCTCGGTCGGACAGTCCGAGACGGCTAGATGTTTGAGGGCCCGGATGTAGAGGTACCGGACGTCATACTTGTGCGCAAGTCGAAGGATGCCAAGAAGCGTAGGCAGTTCGACCGGTTCCGGCGGTGGCATGAAGTAGCTCGTGAAATATCAGACGGAGCTTGAAAATGCTTTAAGCGCATGCGTACCTCGAGTCAAAGACGGCCCTCAGAAACACTTCCACATCCGCCGCAGAATCGTGCAGAGAAACAACCGGGCAGCCGTCGATAATTTCTTGTTCGTGGCCCGGTGGCTGCGGGAGAGCGATCATGTCGCGGAAAACGGATGAGCGCGCAGCTAGGATGGATTTCGTGACACGGAAGATGCTTTTCTCCGCCCGCAACACAAGTCCGTCAGTGGAGAACCAGAGATCGTTTATTCGTCTGTCTTCGGTCATTTCAGCGGCTACCAAGTGAAGCCCGATGTATCAGAGGTCTACGCTCAGGAACGAGACTGTGAGATCACCTGGGATGGGTATGAGGGTGAATCGTGGCGTGTGGCGGAGTGACAGGAGGAAACAAGAAAGAAGAAAATTGTTGTGTGGTCATGCTTGACATCAAACATTGACGGCCGGCACCAAGCGGCCCGGCGTATGTAACGGGCATGGCCGGATCGATTCCAACATGCCCGTTACATCGCTTGTATTAATTCATTTTAGCCTACGATATGCGCCCATACGCGACTTACGATACTTACATACACCTATCTACCGTTACCTGTAGCACTGCCTTGTTCCTGTACTTATAAGTATTCCCTTGGTTCGTCGGGGTTCGCCTTGTCGAATCAACGCCAGTTTTCGGGGCTCCATGCCCTCAAGCTTTCCTGTTCCTCAGTTCCTGTTCCGGCTCCGCCTCGGGGGCTCCCGCCCCGTGACAGCGTAGCTAACATAAATCGGGTCGGTTGTGATTTCGACTCAACTTCTTGGTTTACCTTCTTGGTTTACCTTGACCGCTTGTCTGGATCAAAAACCATGAGCTCGCAGAGAGCCAGGATCCGGCTTGAGTTTTTGAAGGAGGGAGAAAAAGGATGTCGAACACTCATCACATTATCGGCGCACATATGTGCTATCTGCTGGTTGAATGACATCAAGCAGCGTACGATGTGCAGCGCAAGGCCCTGGTTGCGAAATTTGAGCGTTGGAAACCCAGCAGGCTGAGAGACTCGAATACACGAAATCAATCCCCGATCAGTCAGGAGGTATTTGGGCAAAAGCCCGCGTTCTTCTGTAAGTAAATCTGAACCCGTGTCGACGGAATAATCAGAGTCCGACCAAAATAAAACCAGAGCTCGAAATATTACGCACAAAATGCTGCGTCTTTGCTGGTAGAACTTGCTGCGTCCGAAGTCAGCTAACACGGTGAGGGACCCTGCTTTAGCTCAGTTGGCGGAGCGCGAGACTATAAGGGATTCCAGATTATCTCGATTTCACCTGTTCGACCCAGGTAACAAGGACTTTTTGGCGAGAAAAACCCTCGTTGCTGTGATTTTATACGAACTGCAAGATGCTCTCGTTGAACGAGCTCAGGCATTGTAAATTCCCCGACGGTCGACAAGTGAACCAAGTAATTTCAGGGCTGCAAGAGATTGAAGGGTCATGGTCGGCTTCAACGGATCTGAGGAGCCGTGGGTGAGGGAAGAAGAAGAGAGAAAAAGAAGACGAGAAAAAGAAGGACATAGTGACGGTATTACCCGACCCCAGATCGAACGGGGATCCCCTTCGTTTAAACAAGCTCAACACTCCATTGTGAGCAGGCGCACTCCATGTGCTATCGGGTGGATACACAGCTTATAGTTTGGGTGAGCAAAGATGGTATACCAGAGTCCAGCAAGTTGACCGGTGAACCAAATAATCTCATATCTGCAAGAACCCGAGTTCAAGCTCGGAAGAGATGAGGATATCGTTGAACGGAGTTGGAAACTCACCGAGAGTTATAAATTAGCAGGTAGACAAATGAACCAGAGAATACCATATCTGAAAGAACCCGAGTGGTCTGCTTCAACACCTGAGCAGCCGAGGATGAGGGAAGAAGAGAAAAAAAGGACATGGTTACCGTGTGTATTACCCGACCCCGGATCGAACGGGGATCTCCTGCGCTTCAAGAAACTTGCTTCACTGGGAGCAGGCGCACGCATGTGCTATCGGGTGGCTGCCTGGCTTGAGGTTCCACCGACCTTGTGTGGGCAAAAGGGACGGTTCCTTGGTGTCGTTGAACATACTCAGGCGTTGGAAACCCGCCGCGGGTTCGACGTATGAAGGAAACGAGGCTCGATGTAACGTAATGTGCCTGCGGAAGGTTCAGTTTGAGCGCATTCAAGGAACAAAAACATAACGGGGCGGGGAAAAAAATGTCTTCCTGCATTACTAGCATTAGTACCCGACCCGAATCGAACGGGGACCTCCTGCTTCAACTGTCCTTTCAGCGGCTAAATTATTAACAGGCGCACACATGTGCTATCGGGTGGGTTGAAGGTCTGAATTTGAGGGAAGTTTGTGTGTCCGAAACTGGGGATGGATGCATATGCGCCGTTATGGAGCGGGTGAATTTTGCAGAGAGGGCGCGAGCAGGGGAAATGAATTTGAAGTTGAGCAAGAGTGGAGTCGCAGAAGCAAAAGGACACCACGGAAAGGGGAGCCAGATAAAGCACTGGGCTGGGGGGAAGCAAGAGTCTTCAAGTTCGAGCGTTGAAAGAAAGTAAATGCGTTCCATTGAAGTTGCCAGTCGCAGGGCCTCCAAGCGAAGGGAGTTGAATAATAAGCCGTGCAACAAGTAACAAGTGAAGCCCCAGTGAGAACTGGCAAACCCCAGGGCAATCCCGCCCGCAATTCAGGAAGGTTCGTTGAAGGTTCGGGACAAGGTGCGATTGATCCTAACCCGCCCGTGTGATTGCCGGTGCTTGCCGCAGTGGATCTTGTCTCTGCCCACCACAATCCAACTCGCCCATCGACTCTCTGCTATCTCTCCCACTCATCTCTCTCGGATTCTACTTGGGCTATCTCCTCTTCAACTTTCTTCGTCTCCTTCACTGGTTTCGAGGACTTTCCCCTTCATTCTCAAACGAATCCTTGGGCGGCATTCGATTCAAGACTGACTATTGTTCTCGGCCTACCGACGCACCCAATTATCGCTTTAATCTGAATCAATCCCAGTCGTATCCTCCGGCTTATTCGCTTGGCTGCGTTACGGTTTTTGGCTTCGCCGGTGAAGCTCTTTATGAGTGTGTATCTGTTTGTTTACTGCCACTGGAGTCCGGTCGTACTCATCGAGCGGTCTGTAGCAAGCGTTCTTTCGAATGGCGACGATCAACCGTATGGGGAGCAGGACGAGCAGGACGAGGAGGAACAGGTTTTGGGAGACGAGGTGGATGTGAAGGAGGAAGGGTGCGTGGATTTTCTCCACATTTTTTCGATTTTCTTTTTCTTTTTGTTTCTTGGGCGCGGGTGTCGGCGAAGTTGGGCGTGCAGGTTGTTGGCGCGCTTTCATGCTTATTTTGCGCCATTTTACGTCTTCTTCCTTTCTTTCTTTCTCGCTTCACGTTTGGGCCATCCAGTGTCAGATCCACTCGCCGTCTGGCGCGCTATGCTGGTGCTCTTGTTCCTTGCGGCACTACCATCTACGCGTTGCGGGCGCAGCGACGCTTATGTCGGGTCCCATTGGCTAGGGCCATTGCTGCCCTTATCGAGCGGCAATGTGTATCTCCTGGAGCGCGCGACGCCGGCGCGCGGAATGCGTTGCTTGCTTTGCCTGCCTTCCTCGATTTGGGTTCGTCATCGTCTGGCCACTGGGTGCGCCGGCGGCATCCTTGTTTTGGCATTGTCCAAGGAATGCCTTGCTCTCGGGATGCAGGACTCGAGGCGCCGATGTCGGTGGATCTGTCTGCGCATCGCCCGGCTCTGCCGCTCGCGGATACCTTACTTACATCCTCTCCCTTGGCGCTATCCTTCTCCAGACCGTATCTTCATCCCCCTTTCTCATTCTTCCCTCTAGGCCCCACTCCTTCGCCGCTTTCTTCGTCTGCTAAACTCCCTCGCTCCCGATCCGCGCCGACGACGACGACCCGCCGCCTCCTCACCATCACCTACGCGACGCGCGTGCAAGTCTGGGAAAAGCTTCGGTGCCGGCGGCGTCGGCCCCGCGGGGTCGCCGAAGTACTCGATCTGCGCATGCTCGCCTCGTTTGCGAAGACGCGCACGTCGGCGGAGACGATACGCGCCTTACGCGCGCGGAGAGCAGCGGCGAGAGAACGGCAAAGAAGAGATGTACGGCCCAGTCCTGAGCGCGGCGATCCTGCCTCTAAATGTGCGGGGGGAATGGAAAGACGTCGACGGGGAGGGTGGAGGATTGCAGCTGGGTATATCGTGCGTGTATTTTCTCTTCACTTTCGTCTTTCTTTTCCCCGACTCCTCGTATCTTTGGAGTTTGGATTCTCCTGCGATTCTGGATGTCAATGGGGTGCCGATGTCGATGGAGATGATGCCCGTAAGCGCTATTAGCTGCTGCTGCTGCCTCGAGGTCGTGGGGACGTGCGATCTGGGGCGGATTGTGGATGGCGTGAGGTGTCGCGGTGGGCGTGTATGATCCATGCGCTGCGGGGCGCGGGCGCCGGCTGTGGCAGGCCGGCGTTCGAACGCCGCCGGTCGGGGTGCGGGGAAGGTGGAAGTCCCTAGCTTTGGAATCTCCTCCCTCCGATTGCCTGGGATCTCACGATCCTCGAGCTGGATGGAGGTGTCAGGAGCTGCGGCGCCCGGCGGCGATGTTCTCCGCGCTCGCGATGGGGGTGGATTTGTGCCAGTCGATAGCGGACACAGATCTCTTAATCTTGTCCACTTCTGCGATCTTTGACGCGCCGTGCGAGCTGCGGGGCGTGGAGCCTGAGCGACCCGCTTGCGTTTGACGGTTCGCGGAGGTGCGCGCGCGCTGCACAGAGCGGATATCGGGATCGGTCTCGATATCGGATGCTGGTGTTATTCACCACCGTGGATAGCGGGGCTGCAATGCTCGGAATGACCGCCCGAGGAGGAGGAGGAGGAGGAGGAGGAGGAGGAGTATATTAACCGCGGTGGTCCCTATAAGGAACGTACGGCTGTTGTACCGACATACATCAAGCCTGAAATGTATGCTACAACCATCCTGCCGCCCGAACGATACGACAGAACTAACATAGAGAACTTCTCACGAAACGGACCGTCACAAGTGGGACTTCAAAGTGTGTGATGCTAGGGAACGCCATACCCGTCTGGTATGTAACGTTGGAATCTGTCAAATAGAGTCAGCACTTCAAATACGAATCTCGCAATCCGCTCAATCGCTTTCCGGGAGGACACCATGCGACGCAGAAACTCGTAGCATATCCGTGCTTGCTTGCGGGCGAGCAGAAGCTGCTTTCTTCCGACCCTCCGCGCGCGATCTTCCTTCGTTTTCCCTTACTATATCTCCTTTTTCGACTCCACGCTAACACTTCTTTTCATTTCAGGACGCCGCACGCCTTATACGATACGTGTACGCCCTATCCACCGGCCACGTCGCTCCGGCTGCTTTAACGTCCCTTTCGTCCGTCTCTGCAACAGCCTCGGTTTTCGCGGCGAGAGACGGTCGTGGGGGAAAGGATGCGTATGCGTATGGTATGCCGGCTGAGAGTGTCAATGGACGAGGTTGGGGAGGGGATGGAGGGGTGGGGATGCCGTGCGCGTTTAAGGCGGCGGAGCGGGTCGTTGTCGTGGTGAGCATCTTTACTTGACTTTTTTTTGGCGGAGGGAGGCAGCGGGCTTCCGGGCACGGAGGAGGCTCGACGAATGAAGCATGCAGTCGTACTCCTCCCACCCAGTCATTCCCTCTTTACCGTCGTCTTTTCACATTTATTACCCCATGCTGATTTCCGTATTCGGTACAGACTACGCACTCCCCGCCTGCGCCTGTCGCTCTTGCACGGCGCTCTCTCCGTGTCCTGCACGTCTTCCACGCCGCCGCCCTCCCCGTGCCGCACCCGCCCTCGCCACCCATGTCGGACTTACCAAGACAATTCTTCCCGACGTACATCCCGCCCCACCAGCCTTCAGGCAGCTATCACGCGTCTGCACCGACTGCCACCTCTGCGCTGCACGGCCGTCTTCTGCACCGCTCCCCGCACATGTTTCTTCTCGCGCTCCGTGCCCACCGCGAGGGCGCTTGCAGCAAGCGTGGTCCACAGCTTAACGCGTCTGCACCGACTCCCACCTCCGCACTCCACGGCCGGCTTCTCGCATTCCTCCCCGGCCCCCGCGCCGCTCCCCGCGCAGGACACCGCCCCGCTCGCAACCTGGGGCCGCACCATCGGCCGCTTCTTCTCGCGGTCCGCGTTCGCCGCCAGCGCGCCCGCCGCGAGAGCGTCTTCACAGGCAGGAGCCCGCCGCTTGCGTCGACCATTACTGGCGGGGGCGGGGGCGGGGAGGGCTCCGTGCGCGTCATGGGTCTTGC